TAACAACTTATGACACCAGACAATGAAAACTGTACAGAAACTGCTAGTAACGTAAAAAAAAAAAAAAAAGCTTTTTAAAACCGGTCTTTCAAAAATCTAAGAACAATGTAGTAAAATGAAAAGTTATTATATTTATACTTTTAGCCCACAAGAGAGTAATGCACCGTAGGAATATTTAGAACTACTGCTAAAATTTATGTGTACAGGCGACAGAAAGCACAGTTCTGTAAAGCTCGAAACCAATTTGCGGGGTTGTGTTACGACACTTACAAATATATTTGTCGTAGCTGGATTAACTAGTAAGTAATATATTTTGTCCCGACCACGGTATGCATTACCAAATCCGTTTCTTTCCTGTTGTATTGTTTTAACAAGAATCATGGTACGTCACTCAAAACTGAGAACTGTTTTATTTCGCTCTACCAATAACCACTATTAACAATGATCGATCATGTCTTGTTCTATTTTTTTTGGAAACGTGGCGCATTACTAAGTACAGGTCACTAGCGCTGATCATGCATACATGGTTGCCATGTGGCTATTTCAGTTTTCAGAAAATAAGAAATATTCATTATCTTTCTCTCTTTTCTCCACTAGTACTTAATATTTGTTATGTATAAAGTAACAATATCAAAAACATCTTAAAAGGTTGTTTTTCACACTGAAATTCTTTCAGATATACATTATTGGTCATATGATATTATTATATTATTTATGAAATATACAAACGTTTAGCCAAACACTTCCTAAAATTTATCAACAATTCTTCTTCTCAGGACCGGTATTTTGGTCTTTAATAGACCAGGGAGGGTCAGGTGCTAAAGACCTCTTCCTTCCATCAACAATTCGCTCATATTTATGTTTGTATTTGAATTTCGCGCAAAGCTACACGAGGACTCGTATGTTTAACATCATTTGAAAGTCTGAATGTGATTGGTCAAAAGCAGTAACATTATTCACACTGGTAAAAATTACAAATTCCGGTTGAGAAATCGAGAAATTATATTATATACATAACTTTGTAAAAATCTGAACATGTTACTTATATCCACGCCCTTTTCATGAGTCTTTTAATGAACATCAGTCAAATTATTCATCAACGAATACTGTAAATGTCTACAAAATCAAGTCGAAGAAATGTTCACAAATATACATTTCTGCAATGTAGATACCAAGTCTTAATATCGGTCGAATAATTTTTACATTACATTGAACCGTTAAATCGAATTCGAAATGTATCGTTAACTGTTACAAACATAAATAAAAATTTCCAGAGATCTGTGGCGCATGAAAACAAAAACGAATGAACCAGAGATATACCTTACAAGCACAAGGATGTTAGTGTTGATGTACACGAACCGTAAACCATTCTTAATAACAAAGAACAATCTAACAATAGAATATTTTTTCATCTAATAGTAAGGAAATTCTGCCACCTTACCGTACTAGTAAGATAAACGATTTACAGGCGCTGGTTATTACAACAAGAGAAAGTTAGTTCGTTAGTTATTTTTTTGCTATTAAGTACAAAGCTACATAATGGGCTATCTGTACTCTGCCAACCCCAGGTACTGAAACCCTATTTGTAGCGTTATTAGTCCGCATACTTGCTGCTGAGTAACCGAAGGGGTGGGGGCACAAATGAAAGAACAGGTGCATTTGCAAATACAATAAGGAAAAATATTTAACGTCAGCAAGACGTTACAGTTGCGCCCTAAAACTGATATTAAGGCTACTGAGCTTTGCTACTTGTCCCCGAGTGGCACAGTTGTATGTCTGCGAACTTACAACGCTAGAAACCGGTTTCGATACTCGTGGTGGACAGAGCACAGATAGCCCATTGTGTAGCTTTGTGCTTAACTACAAATAAACATTGTTACTTTCCCTTGTAAAGTTTTTTTTAATTAACAGAAAAATTGCTTTAAGTTTATTACATTCAGTTTCCGGATTAAAATAAGTGTTTACTTCCCCTCATGTAATTAGTTGTTACTGACCGGTTTACGATATGAATAGCAAAATCAAAGTAAACCTATACAATAGATAGTAATTGCCATCGTACCACTATTTCAGTAAATTGTTTTGGAAGGCCGTGCAACACGATAAAGTTAGTTACAATTAAGCATTGCATCAGACGAAGCACAACGGCATAAAATAAAATTGGTGTTCTCCCTTAGGTCTGTAGA